ACAGACAGTGTCTGTCTCCAAACACTCCAAAAAAGGTTCTGGAGGTGGGGAGGACAGAGGCACGAGGCACTGTCCCCGGGTTCCAGGCCCAAGCGTGGAGGCCCCACCACAGGCAGGTCCAAAGGGACCCAAGTTGTCAGCTCTGATCCAGCACCACATCTCCCCACGGCCCCAGGGCTTCCAAGTGGCCGGTGGGTGGCTCAGAGCCTCCTCGCAAAGACTCCAGCACCCTCTAGTCCTCCTGGAAGGGAGGACTTGTCCAGAAAGGAACCTGCAGAGGTGACTCCCAGGTGAGAGGGCTCAGGGAGCAGTAGAGCTGCCCTTTCTGGGGCCCAGATGGTGTAAAGGGCTTAAGGCCTAAACCACGCTGAGTCAAGGTCTCTGTGCCAGCAAGAAGCCCAAGGAGAATGCTCTTCAGGGCAAAAGGCAGGTGTCGCCATGCTTATGTTGTTTAGTATGGCTAGTCTACCCTAGCTTCTTGCATTCTGCCCCTCTCTGCCCTCTGTGGTTCCTAAGATTCCCTGGCTAAGATTCATCAGCGCCTTGCGGGACAAGCTGTGATCTTGTTCCCATGTGCCCTGCGTGGCCAGCCCAGCCCCAGGTACCTCTGAGGTGCTCAGCACATGCCTGTTGACACTGAACACCTTGCACTGCTGAATCGCTGGACCTTGGTCCCCTCCTCTCGACAACATGGGGACAGCGCCAGCTGCCCTCTAAGGCCCCCAGCTCTACAGCTCCAATTAGTTCCAAAGCAAAGCCAGCAGCGCCGTCCTGGCAGGGCAGCAGAAAGTGCACCTGGCTAGAGCCGGGAGGGAACAAGAGGCAGCAGGGGGTGGACAGTATAGTGTGTCACCTCCTGACTACTCTGCACCCCTCAGGGACCGTGGGGGGCCGTGGCAGGTGCTGTCCTTAAAGCAATTATAAACAAGGCAAAGGACAGGCTGTGACTTCCCTTGGCAAACAGGAGAAAACGAACCGGAGCCCTACCCCACAGCCCCACTGGTAGAACTCGGGGAGTGGGGTGGGGAAGGTGCTGACAGACTCTTTGTAGGGAGGAACAGACTGAGCCCCACACTAGGAGGCTGGGCCTGGATCACTGTGAGGGGAGGCAGGCAGAGGCAGAGGGCTCAGCACCTTTCGGAGCTGTGGGCAGGACCCCTGGTGAAGCACCTGCAGGGTAAATACGGTAGACGGAGCATTTTTTTGTGTTTTGCATTTCTGGGCACACGATGGGGACTTAATCCCATTTTCTCATCCATTCCACAAAGATTTATTGAGCAGCCACTATACATGAGGCTCTCTTCTAGATGTGGGGGTACAGCATGGACCAAAACACACCAAACCCCTGTCCCTAGTCCCCTGAAGACTGACTAGCTCAGATGCCAATCTTGCCCCCACTCCCCGCCCTACCTTGCCTTTCCCGCAGCAGGGTATGGGACCTGCCACCTCTCCTCACTCCTACCAGGCTTCACCCCAACTCCCTTCAGTTTCCACAGATGCGGCCGGCCCCCAGGCTCTCCCAGTGATCTGCTCTCTCGAGGCCCAGGACCTCCTAGAAGATGACAGACTCCACCACCCCCACGAGGGACCCTCCCCCAGCCCTCCCTACAACTCTGGTCTGGGAGAGGAAAGAAAAAGGGAACAGCCTCTTTCTGTGTGTGCCTTTATCATTTTTGTTGTTAACAAGAACTACAATTCAAGCTGGAGTGAAATACTTGCCCTCCATGGGGTGGGAAAGTAAAATAATGGGAAGTATTTGAAGAGCCTCCCTTCAGCAAAGTGAGGGTCCTCTTTGAACACTTCCCCAATTATTGCAACAATGCTACTTTAGTGCCATGTACCTTCGCAGCAGCTTCAGACCCTGATCCCCTCAGCTAGTGCCGTCCTTGTTTGTCCGCCTCATCCGGGCTTCATCAACCAATGCAGTGTTAAGCGCTTGTCCTAGAGAGTGGGACCAAGAGCCACAAGGCCAAACAGTGGAGAGTCTCATGGCAGGTGGGGACAGGTGGAGAAAGGGGGAAGGACTGACTGTAGAGGGGACACCAAATTGTCTCAGAAGTGGTCCCCGCCCTTGGGGACCTGCCTTCGAAAGGGGATAGGCCTACCAGGCCCAAAGTCAGAGGCACAGAACCCAGGAGATGGGCAGCTCTCACCTGGGTAGCTGCAAAGGGGCATGCCCCAAAGGCGGTGGTTTTCCAAGTGTGCTCTGGGGACCAGCAGCATTAGCATCACCAGAGTGATGAATTGTCAGAAATTCAAATTCTAGACTGCATGGAATTTGCAGAAACACCAGGAGGGACCCAGCATCTGTGTTTAAACAATTCCTCCAGGGAGTTCTCATGCATGCCCAAATTTGAGAACCACTGCCCTAGAAAAAGGACTATGGAATCATTCCAGAAAATAAATAAACAAACAAACAAACAAGCAATGATGCCTAGGCCCCTCCCCAAGAGATTCAGATGCAATGGTACTGTCTAAGAACTCTCCAGGTGATCATAATATCCTGCCAGGTTGCAATAAGGTGGAACAGCCCCCTAGTCTCTCGGAAAGGCGTGCCCTGATGGAGAGAAAGATTTGCTTACATGGAAGGAGCAAGGAAGGGCTAACAGGAGGGAATATAAGCCATGGGTTTCTGGATGGATTGTCTGGTGGAATTCCTGGATTACTCCCTACAGCACCACATCTTACTTTGGGACCACCACTGGGTGCATAAGAGCCAACCAGGTGGCCTGCATGGCCAGCAAGCAGGTGCTAGAACTTACGGGGCCAGGTGGCTATCCCCCTAAGAAAGCTGGACAAAGGATGGGTGGCCAGAACTCATTTCTCCTCCTTAAGCCCACACTTAAGAGCCAGGAAGGAAAGTCAGTGATGACACTGCCCGTTGCCTCTGCTCCTCTTGGCTGCCCTCTGCTCTCATCCACTACTTTGCCACTCCACATCAAAGCATTTCCTGTGGGCATAATAAGTCCCAGATCCTACCCTATCACTGCGATTTTATCTCTGCCCTCAGTGACATCACAGCCAAGGGGATCTGTATCTCTGGTACAGAATGGAGGAGGCACAGACAGTAGGAGGGCAGGGGACAGCCACACTTAGGAGTGTGCGGTCAGTGGCCAGCCCAGTTGCTACCCAGGGAAACCCAAGGGGCAGGGCAGGGGTGGTACCGATGCTGCAGGCATTGCCAAGCCCCCTGCACCCTCTTGTTCAATGAGGAGAGAAGGCTGGTGTGGCAGGACAGAGAGTGGTGTGAAGCCCCACGTAAAGCATCACATCAGAGGACGTTAGACACATGCGGAGGCCTGTTTGCAACCCATAGGTCTCTATTCCTTCCCTAGAGCTCTGCATGCCTCTATTTCCTCACTTAAGAATGAGAAATAACTCACTGAGCCATAAGAGTTCATTAGGCGCTATTCTAAGTACCCCACGTTCATCAGCACCAGCATACTCAGTCAGCCCTCACTACAGCACTAGTAAGTGGGTGCTGCTGTAAGAACCCCACTTTTTAGGTGTGGAAACTGAGGCACACTGGGGTTAAGAAGGTTGCCGAGGCTCACGCAGTGGTAAGTGGCAGAACTGGGACTCCAAGCCACAGAGCCTGGCCCCAGAGCCCATGCTCTCCACAACCCCCTGACCAGGTGACACTGGCCCAGTGCTCAATAGATGGTGGCAATGGCTGTCCCAAGAAAAACTGCCTGGTTGCTCCACTGGGACCCGTCTTTAGCTAAAGCTCAACTCTACGGACTGCAGCATCTCCCAAACACCCCCAACAGCCCAACCCCCTCACCCCTTCCTTTCTGAAGTCTCGTCCTCCCCAGTGTCTTTGGCAAAGGTTTGTAAAAGGTTCGCTTTGGAGGGAATCCCACAGATGATCCAGATTCACAGATATGGAAACTGAGGCTGAACAGAGCAGAGACAGGCCCAGCCACACAACCAGTCAGAGGCAGAGTGGGGTCTCTCGACTCCTGGTCCAGTGCTCTTATGACTTCCACTGCCGTCCCATTCTCACCCAGCAGTCCCCACAGCCTCTTCTGCACATCTGATTAAGCAAGTGCCCGCTGAGGGCTGCACTGTAAGTTAACAGACGTGGAGTGCATGGCACAGAGCCGTCAGTAAGGAAGCCTCCTCCCTTCCTGGGCGTCTGGGGCTTCCAAAGCCCACAAGGTCCCACCCTGGCCAGTCAGGGCAGGTTCCAGCTGGGGGTCCTTTGGTCACTCGTGCTGGCAGCTCAGAAGAAAGGCCAGGAAACAGGTATGGTGCCAGAACAGGGGCCTCAGCAAGTTCACACCCTGCTTTTTTTTTTTTCATACAAATTATTTTTTCAATTGAATCCGGGTCTCACTATGTTACTCTGGGTGGTCTCGAACTCCTGGACTCCAGTGATCTTCCCACCTAGGACTCCCAAAGACCCACCCTGCTTAGAGCAGGAAACTCTGGATAGAGAAAAGAAGGTCTCCAGACCACCACACCCCCATCTTTCAAGAGAGAACTCCTAGGAAACCCTTTGAAGAAGTGGTTTTCTTTAGGGACTGAGAACACAGACTTTGGAGTCAATTGGACCTGGGTTAAAATCCCAATCCTGTCACTTCCAGGCTGTGTGATTTTAAGTAACTTGCTTAACTTCTCTGAGTAAGTGTAATGCAAACAGTAATTCCCACCTCACTCCAAAGAGTAAACACACAATAAATGTTGGCAACTATTGTACAATAAATCTTATTATCATATTGTTATTATAATATAATAGCATAAGAGAGGAGCTGAATATTCTATGAATATAATCTTGTTTTATTGTTACATTCTTATAGACACATATTCACAATTCATCTATACCCATATTCCTAGACACTTAACCGCACACACAAACTCGCAACCATTACTCAAACCCCACGCCAACCCAGAAAGCAACCTCACGTACTCACCACATAGCGGGCACTGCCGCCCCCTTAGTCCTCACAGCAGCCTGTGAGATGGGTGTGTTTTCATCTCCCTCCTCTCAGATGAGGATCCGCACAGCACATGCATGCATACATGTTCACAGCATCCTGGGATGTGGGCATTTCTGGCAGCTGTGAGAACCGTGAACTCCCTCCTTCCGATCGGAGGAGGCCAGCCCAACTTCCATGGTCATCTCCAGGGCAGCCCCAAGCTGGGCCCCAAGTGCTGACTGCCCTCCATCCCCAGGACAAAGGCCCAACCTGGTTTTCATGACAGCTGTGGTTGGGGAAACCCCTGTTGCCGGGAGAAACCGAGTTGACTTTGAAAAGGAAGAGACAGAAGCCAGGGGGTGGCTGGGCCACTCCCTGTGGGGGCAGGTGCTAAGTAACTCTATAAACTCTGGCTAATGATGCAATTACAGCCATAAACAGAGCCCCAGGAGGGCTCAGGGCCAGAAGCTAGACCCTCAAAGGGCAGCCAGGCTTGAGGGGTAGACGTCCCCTTCCACCTACTTCCCCGCTTTCCAGAAACAGGCCAAGTAGTCCTGTGGCAGCGCATGCGGGACTCTGGAAGGGCTCCTGCCTGCCCTGGCCCACTCCCTGCCCACCTCTGACTGTGTCACCAGGCCATTAGCCCGCAAAAGCCCAGCTGGCTCTCTCTGGGTTCAGTGCTAAGGTGTCCCCTGCCCTATCCCCTGAACTCCTTCCAGGGGACCCAGAACCAAAATACCTGAGTCCCCATTTGGCTCTGCCTTTTGGAGCTGAGTTGAGGCCTGCAGCTGTAACCGGCATTGTAAACGGTAAGCAGCATTGTCTTCCCTCGGGGAGGAGCAGAGCATGGAGTCACCCAAACAGCCCTGCCCTTCATTGACACCCTCTGGCTCCCAGCTCTCCAGGCCCAGCGGCCAGGAGGCAGAGGGAAAGAAGGGAGCCAGGCGAGTTGCTCATAGTCCTGGGGCTAAGAACACCGGCATGGTGAAAACATGCCATCAGGTTAGCAGGCAGGGACCTCAGGGCAGCTGACCCCTTCCCCTTCCTCTGCCTCTGCTGGCCGGCCAGGAATTAATGCTGGCTGTCCCTCCCCTCCCTGAGAGGAGGCCTGAGGGCCATCTCCCAGTTGGGACACCAAGTACTGCGTTCTAACCCAGCTGCATCCGCATCTGGCCACCCAGGAGGAACCCAGAGACCAGCCACCCACCTCATCCCCAGGTGCCCAGGAGTACCAGGTCTGGGCCAATGGAATCTCGAACAGGGCGTGTGCAGGGGCCTGAGGCCACACCCCAGAGGTGTCACTAGGGGCCTGCACGGGTCTTGTCACTTTCCCTGAGGGATGAAGCAACCCCTCACTCGGGATGGGGGAAAGGCAGAGGATGGGAGCTACGCAGTAGTAATTAACCTGCACTTTGCCAGCAAGCGCTAGGCCAAAAACTGCGCTCAAGTAGAGTGCAGAAACTCCACGCTGAACGGTCCCCAGAACAGACAGGCGAGAGAACGACGGCTGGAGCTGTGGGGGGGTCGGGGGAAGGCGCAGCGGCCAGGGGCTGGAGGAGGGCGGGGGCCTGGACCCAGTAGGGTTCCCGCAGACGAGTCCCGCCCCGGGCGCCCTCTCTTCCTCCCCCGGGGCGCGGGGCTGGGGCGCGCCAGGCTGCTGCGGCGCGAACCTGCTCGCGCAGCCCGGAGCAGTTCGGGGTAGCCGTGCGTGAAGCCGGAACCCCGCGAGGGGAGGGGGCGAGGGGTGGGGGCCGAGCTGGCATCTGCCCGCTCCCTTCCAGGAGGCGAGTGGATGCGCTGGGCCAGAGCTGGTCGGAACAGCCCGGGGGTGGGCGGCGCGGACTCGGGGGGATCGGGGGGAAGGGGGCGTGTTTTCCGGGATTCAGGACCGAGACGGGGGAGGAGGAAACTCGTGGGGCGGGCCGGCGGCTGGGAGCTCCCGGGGGAGGCAGACAACCGGGCGCACGGAGGGAGAGCTCCGGGGTTGGTGTTCCCCAGGGTCATGGAATAACGCACGGGGAGAAAGAGGCTGCCCAGGGAGGGACTCGAAGGGACAGGGCCAGGGGCGGCTTCTTCCAGAGACGGAGCTAGAGGAAGGGACGGGGAGGGAGGGAGAGATGGTACTTCCACCCGCCCCCCCAGCAGTCCAGCCCCCGGGGCGTGGCGCCGCTCCGGCCCTCCCACTCCCCCGCAGGCCTGGCCAGACTCGGCCCCCGCACACCTCCCCTACCTCCGACCCCCTCTCCGGCCTCGCGGGCCCCGGCCGCGTCCGGTGGAGGGGAAGTGGGCGCGGGGCCCGCGCGTCCCTCAAACTTCTTGCAAGTTCACTCCCACGCCTCCCGCCCCTTCGACTCCCAGCTCCGGGCCGGGAAGGCCCGTGCCCGCCCGGCTCCTCCCGCCCGGTTACATAAGGTTGCGGAGCAGCCGCCCCCGGCCCGCGGCTGAAGGGAGGGGCCGAGGGGGTCCCGGCTCGGCGGGCAGCGCCGCTCGGGCCACGCGCTGGGCGCCTGGGCGCGGACGAACCGCGGGGTGGGTGGTGGCGCGCACCGTCCCGCTCCCCTCTCCTGCGGGCATCCCCCACCCGCCCACCTGTCTCCGGGACCCACTGGATAGGGGCCAGGGAGCCTGGGTCGTGGGTCCCGGACCCTCCTCGCGCCCCTCGCCCCCCGGCCCCGCTCACCTCGCTCTGAAGGTCAATCTGTCCGCCGCCCGCGCCCCGCGGCTCCGGCAACTTGTCTCAAGTTCGGGTGCCTGGCCCACAAGCTGTGCCCGCAACCTGCTCCCGGGCTGCTCCGGCCCCGCGCCACCAGGGAGGCCCGCCCCGTGCGCCCTACCCGCCGCCGACGGCGCCGCGGCCGCTCCCTGCGTCCCGCCCGGGCCGCCGCCTCTGCTGTCACCGAGCCCCGCGCCCGGCGCCGGGCTCGGCTGTCACTCCGCGCCCACTTCCCTCCGCGCCCAGCAGAGGGCAGCACCCGCCCCGCCTTCCAGCCTCTCTGCCGCGGCGCCCACTGGGAAGCGTAGTACTCGCTGCAGTCCCGCTGGGTACGCCGGGATTTGTAGTCCGGCTCAGCGGGCCAAGGCTTACAAAGAGGCTCTTGTTCCACTTTCCACTTCTACCCCTTTACAAGTTTTCTTTCTCCTCTCAGTAATGTCCCAAACAAGGGCTCACTACGATACATTCTGTGGCCTGTCCGACCCCCTAGAAGGAACCTACAGCCGGCTGTCCTTCGGCAGTCTAAGAAAGAAACAGGGTCCCAGATAGTATGCTGTTGCCATAGAAACTCCACTCGTGGCAAATTCCAGTTTCTTTCCAGGAGTGGGGTGCAGGACCTTCATCTTGCGCTTTTATCCCTGCCCATGCTCATAAGGGGCAAGGCCCGGGTGAGCCTGGTGAAGGACAGGGTAAAATATGACCGTAGAAGGCAGCCTGCCCCTATTATGGGTTATATACATTCATGCCCCACTCACCAGCTGCAGCTTGCTGTCATGTTGCTGGACAGATATTGTCTGATCTCCTTTCATGTCACCTTCCCTTGTTGGAAGTTAACAAGGTGTGGAGGCATCATTCTCTACTTTCTCCTCTTCCCCGCCCCTTTTTCCCTGTCTCCTCCCCCTGCCCCTCCCCCGCTTTCCTTCTTTCCCTTCTCTTTTTCTTCCTCCCTCTCCTCCTTCCCCACAAACCATGTCGCCTCTAGTTTCTGGATCTTTTGCTAGGAGGCCCCTGAGGAGAACAGCGATGACGTCCAAAGGGACAAGATGCCTTGCTGAGTTGGTTAGAGCACGTAGGCTCAATTTCTCTGTGACTCAAGTACCTCTCCCTCTGGTCCACAGCTGAGAGGCAGCTCTTCAAATACATCCTGGGACATAGGGGTCTGGGTAAAAATACAGTCAGCCTGTCTGGGGGCGGTGGCTTATGCCTGTAATCCCAGCACTTTGGGAGGCCGAGACAGGCGGATCACGAGGTCAGGAGATAGAGACCATCCTGGCCAACATGGTGAAACCCCGTCTCTACTAAAATACAACAAAATTAGCCGGGTGTGGTGGCGTACGCCTGTAGTCCCAGCTACTCGGGAGGCTGAGGCAGGAGAATCACCTGAACCCTGTCGGCAGAGGTTGCAGTGAGCCGAGATCGTGCCACTGCACTCCAGCTGGGCGACAGAGCAAGACTTCGTCTCAAAACAACAACAATCAGCCTAACCACCCTGGCCTTCTGAAGCTCCTCAAGAAATAGTTTCTGGCAGCATCACCTTCTTCTATAAAGAACCCCGTGACTGTTACAGGTGCACATAGGCACCTAGAATTTCTCAGAAACTTCTACTCCAAACTTAATCAACAGGTGAGGAGACAGCCATCTAGTTGTAGGGGGTGTTAGACCACTAATCACACTGCTAGTAGACATACATGTGGGTCCCCATGTCACTGGGGTAGTTCTGGCGGTAGTTCGGTAAATCAGGTCAGAAGAGCATTTTATTTTATTTGTTTAATTTTTTTTTTTTTTTTTGAGACAGAATTTCATTCTTGTTGCCCAGGCTGGAGTGCAATGGTGTGATCTCGGGCTCACTGCAACCTCCACCTCCCAGGTTCAAGTGATTCTTCTGCCTCAGCCTCCCTAGTAGCCGGGATTATAGGCGTGTGCCACCGCACCTGGCTAATTTTGTATTTTTAGTAGAGACGGGGTTTCACCATGTTGGTCAGGCTTGTCTCAAACTCCTGACCTCAAGTGATCCACCCGCCTTGGCCTCCCAAAGTGCTGGGATTACAGGCATGAGCCACTGCGCCTGGCCAGCAGAGCATTTTAGGTCGTTAGAGTGGGGCCTCTTTGCCCACCACACAAGAACACTCTCCCCCTGCCAACCACCCACCCATGGTAGTGCTACTATCTTCTCTTTCCAGGGAAAAAGTGTGAACTTTAAGCTCTGAGGGTTACAGAGCCCATCCCAAGCCCTGCCTTAGGTCCCATTTCTCTTAGAATCACTGTGACCCACCAGGAAACTTCCTAGTCCCTCAGAGAAAACTCCCTTCCAAAAACAACAGGATGACCAACATAAAGAAGAACTATTTATTATTAGAGAAAGTCCAGAGTCCAGAAAAGGAAGGCTGAATCCATAGTGGAGAGCCAGAGACAATACCCCAGGGGGGTGCAGGGTGTAGAGGAAGAAGGAGCCCATGCGTCCAGGCAACAGGTCTAGGCGGCAGTGGCAAAGCCCACCCTGTTGTTGCCCAAGTCGTAGACGGAATAGTAGGACCTGAGGAAGACGTCCCCAAGGATCCACAGGGGCTGGCCGTTCTGGGAGGACAGGTAGGTGGGCTCGACTCCCACGGTGCAGTAGCCATTGTTCTGCTCAACACAGAAAGGCAGCACTCATTCATTTGTTCACACATGCCCTGCTCAGCTCAGAGCCCCAGTCTGGGAGAACAAGTGCAGAGCTGAGGGAACCAGGGTCTCTGCCTTTAGGGCTCACAGCCAACTGAGCCACCAGCGCAGAGCTGGTGGGAGGATTTCTGGAATAGGTACATTCAGGCTGTGGTGGTCCTCAGCAGAGCCTCCTCTCCCCATGGTGGGAAACTTCTCTGCCCACAGACCTCCCTCCTGTTCCCGATTTGGAGCAGATCAGCCTGGTGGTTCAACCTTGGAGCCAAACTAAGTTGGATTCAAACCTCAGCTGTGTCACCTTGAGTCAGTTACTCAGCCTCTCCCAACCTCGAAGGTTTCATTTGTAAAACAAAAATGAATATCTCCCTCATCAAATACTGTGACAATTAAGTGGAATCATGAAGCAAAGTGCTTTGCACAGTGATCTGCCCTAGTAAGTGCCCAGCAAAGAGCCCAGTGCCTCTCCCCACTAGAATAGTCATTGATCATAGATGACAATCTTCTATTTCATAGCCTTGTTCTGGAGAAAGGGATTTAGAATCAATGCATGGGAAAGATAAATGAGTGCAGCACGGAGTTGGAAAATGGTACAAGGCAGGAGATCCAGCATTTCCAGCTCCCCAGCCCTTACTCCCATCCCCAATCGTGGTGGCTCAGCCTGCAGGGACCAGGACTTACACTGAGGATATAGGCGGAGGGCGGCAGAGGGAACTCCACACCATTGATGATGAAGGTCAAGGTGGGCAGATTCTGGATGCTGTTACAGTTCACAAGAAACTGCAAGAGGAATAGGTCCCTGTTGGCTCATCTTCCACCTGATAGCACCCACCAGCCCCATCATCTCAGCCCCTGGATTCCAGGCCTGAGCCCTGGACCCAAGCCCCAAGCCAGTTTTTGGACTAGAGAATGCAGCTCCAAGTCCTGTGTAGATCGTGCTGGCATTACACCATGGACTCATAGAGTGCGTGTGATTTGGAGAGATCCCAGAGCCTCCCCACGCCTCTTGCCTCAATTTCCCATATTAGAGCTTGAACCTCTGCTGTTTCTCTGCAAGTGCCCATATATGTGTGTGTGTGTGTGTGTGTGTATATATATATACATAAATATATATATAAATGGCTATATATATATATATATACACACACACAACCTCTGTTCATTCTCTGCAAGTGTCCACATATATGTGTGTATACACACACACACATACATATAAACACACATATATATACACACATATACACACACATATATATATGTGTGTATATGTATATATATATATATATATATTTTTTTTTTTTTTTTTTTTAATAAAGATGAGGTCTCACCATGTTGGTCAGGTTGGTCTTGAACTCCTAGCCTCAAGCAGTCCACCCGCCTTGACTTCCCAAAGTGCTAGGATTACAGGCAGGAGCCATAACACCTGGCCTGCAAGTGGCCTTTTAAAACGTGAAGATCTGGCCAGGCACGGTGGCTCATGCCTGTAATCCCAATAGTTTGGGAGGCCGAGGCAGGCAGATCGCTTGAATCCAGGGAGTTTAAGACCAGGCTGGGTGACATGGCGAAACCCCGCTACCACCAAAAATACAAAAATTAGCTGGGCATGATGGCGCATGCCTGTAGTCCCAGCTACTCGGGAGGCTGAAGTGGGAGGATTGCTTAAACCCAGGAGGAGGAGCTTGCAGTAAGCCGAGATTGTGTTACTGCGCTCCAGCCAGGGTGACAGAGACTCTATCTCAAAACAAAAACAAAAACACATCTGCAGAATGAGCACCCCATTGGTCTCCAAAATTAAAGTGAGCGGTAGTGGAGTTGGGTTAATAAGACAAACCCTTGGCTGGACCCAGGACAGACAGGCAGGGGGGCATGGCCCTGTGGAGGGAAGGGAGGTGTGGATGAAGGGTCAGCCCTGGTCTTTCACATACTCAGCCCCACATTCCAGTCATTTTGCTCTTATCCCAAAGTCCAGCCAGTGTTTCATCTGTTTCTGCTGAGTGACTGCAGCTCAGAAGAAATTCCTGCCTAATAGTAACTCCCACTTGCCTTCAGCACAAGCATCTGGCCCCACCTGAACAAGCCTCCAGGCCCCCTGCCTGCCCCCAGCCCCAGTTGTTCAGGTCCTCCCACCTCCAGTGCCTCGGGCAGCTAGAGGCATGGAGGTCAAGAGTTAGGCCTTTTTTTTTTTTTTTTTTGAGACAGGGTCTTGTTTTGTCATCCAGGCTGGAGTGCAAAGGTGAGATCATGGCTCACTGCAGCCTCCACCTCCTGAGCTCAAACAATCCTCCCACCTCAGCCTCCCA